GGTGGGATGTTAGCACCAGAAGCCAAGAGAGGCAGGAATGTTCTACGTGCTATTTAGGGGAGGGGGGTATGCCACATTCTCTCTCACATGTATGTGTTACATGAGGAAACAGACAAGAAAGATGATTGTAAATGGCTTGGATTTTTAAATCTAGGCATGTCTGGGGGACAAATCCTCTAAGCCAAAACACTTAAAGAGGAAAAAGTAAAAGATTAAGGAGAGGACCTGACTTGAGACTCGGGAGTCCAACCCAAAATTGTAAATGGGATGATCTTGAAGCTAGGGTGGCTTCCAGCTTGACTTCTAGCAAAATGAAAGGGTCTATAGCTTTACGCTTTCATTTGCCCTAGCAGTTGAAAGTTCATATCCCTAATTAGGAGTTTGGCCTCCATGACAGAAAGAGCCTCTGACAGACAACCCATTTCATTGATACCTGCTGGCCCACTGACACCAGAAGTTCCGATCAGTTGTGATGTAAATCTTAGTCCCTTTTGGTGGGTTTTGTTTTTGCTCCACTCAGACTAGGTTCTTGGGAATGGCAGCCCTGGGGGAGAGAGGGAGTTAGTAGGGAGAGAAAAAGAACCAGGAGCAGGGCTTTGACCTGTCGGAGAGGAGCCCCTGCTGACACGGTCAGTCTGACCCATTGAATGGCCTGAATACGATAAATGCCGCTTTATCCTGCCTTGAAAGGCACGAGATAGCACAGTCTAAATGCCTGGGCATGCTTAAATAGGCGACTCGGGATGTTTGAGTTGAGCGTGTTTGAAATCTGAGCTCTCTGACAGCCTGGGAGCTGCCACAGGTCACCTGCCTTGCTCCGCAGGGACAGGCCCAGGTCTCACAAGAAATTGTCCATAGACGAATTGTAGTACAAATTCCTTTCTTTGTTGGTTGGCCTCTTTCACCAGACCATGGCCTATAAAATTTTGTAAAAACAATTCTTAAATATTATTTGAAAGGGCAAATGGCCCACGCTGAAAGGTTTGACAGTTTGACATATAGTGCATGGTTTTGATAGCTCGGAAACTGAAAAGTGTGGCCAAGATTCTCCCCCTGCTTGTTAGAAGCCTGGTGTTTTTTAAATAGTGCCTTGTTGTGCGCAGAGTTTCTCTGCTCCTAGCAATCTGACAGGCCACTAGTCTGCTTCAGTGATCTTAAATCCTTTCAGACTAATTTGTGAGAGAGCAGGAAAAGCGCTAGCCACCTTGGAATCCAACATCCAAAAAGCACAGCACCAGGTATTGCCAATTAAGTAGCCATTCGGATAATCACATCAAAGCAGATCGCTCTACAGTCTTCTGATAACACCAGAGCCAGTGCCTAGAGAGAGGAGCCTAGAGTTTCACGTCAGTGAAGGGAAAAGAAAGGATCTGAGTGGCCGATCTCATCAGAGCCGGGAAGTTGCAAGGAAGCGGATTTCTGCATTAGAACGTTGCATATGTGCAGTGGACAAGCTCAGCCCCCTCGGCTGCCTCTGCATAGCCAAAGGCCATTTTCAGGAGCCTCTGGCCCTTCAGACTCTGGCCCGCTAGTTAATTGCCACATGGACTTCATGACACATGGGCAGATAATATGACATTTTCGGTTTCTGTCACTAGCAAACGCCACAACGTTGCTTGCACTAGTTGCTAAGAAGCTGTCAGAAACCATTAGCAATTGGCTAAAGTCGCCCTATGGCATTTCCTCATAGCATCAGCAAAACGAGCATAAATCACCCACTGGAGCCTACTGCTATCCTAATGAGGCTGTAAGCTTGTTTATGGACTAGCATCATTTTTATGATTATTTCCACCTTTTCAGTTTGCCTTCACTTGGCGGCAGGAGAAGTCAGCTCCAGGAATGAAGTCACTGCTGACATTTTACAAATGTGGTTCAGAGCTGCTGCCCGCTGCCGTGTGGCCAGCCGGCGTTCTCCAAGTTTGTTTAGTGATCTTAAAAATAAAAAGAAGGAAATAAATCCTCCAGGGACCACAGAGAGGTGACTGTATCAAATTGCAGAGTGAATGGAAATGCTAAAGGTACAATTGACCATTTAGACTCTCCTCTGAGGTTGAGACGTTTCGAGATCAATTTTCAATTTTAGAAAGTGGAAGAGGTTAAACAATTTATTAAAATCTATGAAAGTGTTTGCTTTTAGAATAGTCTGTTTTATTATGCTCTTCTCCATCCCCATCTTCTCCATTTCGCTAACTTGTGTCGGGAAGGAGCAGGGTTTATTGTTTTAGGCTTTTCTGAACATGCACCAGTATTTACACTGGATTGAAAGCATTTGCTTCCAATGAAAATCTTGTCTTAGATTACAACCCAGCAGTGTAATTTCCCTCCCAGATGGGAGTAAAGTAGCTGTATTTGCCTAAAAACAGTAGGAAGAACAAACTGTGCATTAAGCCAAGGCTGTTTTTGGCTTGAGCTAATGATGTAATAGAAACCTTTTATTCGGGAGAGGTCACTGCCAGGGACTGAAGGGGGTGATCTGGCTCCGGCTTGAAAGGTTTCTCCATTGTATCTACATAAGTCTTCACTTAAAAAAATTCTGTTCCTAATGCTTCTGCTTTCGTACAGCAGAAATAAACAGGAAAGGTTCTGGTGAGTGTTACACATGGAATGCAGAAAGCCTTCCTCTCCTAATGGAGTATATAATTCAGGTGCCCTCAAGGCACGCTTTCAGGAATTCTTTTGCCTGAGGTAATGGGAAGCTAAGGCTGCTTTAAGGCCTTGATTATCTATTGATGCACAAAGCTGGAAAAAAGTCATCTCCTCTGGATTATAGTAGATATTTCCATAAATTATCAATGAATTCTCTTCTAGGCAGGCACTAGGCATTGCCTGCTAAATTAATCTGAAGGGGTTTGGAGGTGGATAGAAAGGCTATTTTTTTTTAAGGTGGAAAACAATCATGGAGAGGTGGTGAAAAACTGTCCTTAGGTTAGAAGCTTTTCATTTTTAATCAATGGACAAGTAATATGTTTCTTTTCCTGGGTTACCTTTTGCATATTGAGAGTGGATTAGCCCATTGAAATTTTAAATGGCTGTGGAGCTGTTTGCTTTTCTCATGTTTCTTTAATGAATTGTTATTTTATATGGTGAACTGCTCCCCTGAATAAGAAGCCTCTTTAAATACTGGACTTTCAGAGAATTTATTAGGCAAATCCGAGGGGACTTCTTATCAAACACTTAGTCATGCAAATAGTTTGTGGGGTGAACTGAGCACTGATTTAGGGATGTGGGGGTCCAGTTCTGCCTGGCTGAGGGGCCTTGGGCCTGTTACTCAACAGGAAGGGAGCATTTTCTTCATTGATTCAGAAAAGGCTTTGGAATTGTAGATCCTCATGCTCTTTTTCATTGAGAACCCAGACCCAACATGTGGGATTTAAAATACAGTCAAATGATAGATTTTAAATGAATAAAAATTCAATTCAGAAAAGTTCTCCAAAAGTTTTGTCAGTTTTGTGGTTTTTGCTGCCATAGCCAAAATGGTGACGTTAGATCCTCACTTGGCAAAGTTTTTAAATTTGAACTCAGTGTAAGTCGAGGCAATTTAGGAGACATTTTCTTATTTTAGAGGTGGAGGGGTGTCTCCGGAGGCAACTGTTAAGAATAATTGATTAATTGCAGTGGATGAGACTGAAATAACTGAAATCAAGATAAAGAATTCTTTCTATGTGTAACATATTTGGGCAACAAAAATAAGAAATACAGAATTTCAGAGAGCAAAGTAATTGAATCTGAGGCTATTTCCAGTGTACAGTCACTGGGAAACTTGTGTGACTCTTTGGACTGCATGAGCTGTTCTCCATGGCTCTCCAGGCATTACCCAGTGGCGGTGCTCTCAGGTCTGTTTGTCACCTCATTGCTAGGCTTTGCTGCTGTAGCTCATCTGAGCCCAGATCAGCCTGTTCCTTTCTAAAGGCCAGTAGCTTCCACAGAGAGCTGGGACGCCAGGTGGAGAATCATCTTAGACAGAACCTAAGTTACTTTTAGTGCAGCAGGTTTAGTTCATTGTTTCCCCTGTTGACTTTTGTGCCCAAACACAAAGTATTTACTTTCCATTTGTACCACATGGTTTGTTTTGGACAGTGTGACTATATAGGCTGAAATTTCTTTTTTTCCTTATTAACTATGGAATTGTAAAAGGAATACTACATTTTTTTTTGTTTGTTTTATTGTGTACACAGAGCCAAAGAAATTTCTAGAAAACAGCAACTTAAATGTTATACAAAAACCAGTGGAAAAACAGGATTCGAAATACAGCCACGTGTAAGGAGATGACTTTTCAGTGATAAAAATTTGGACTAGAAGAAATTTTTTAGACACTGCCTGAATTAGTGTAATATAATTCCATTTGACCATTAACTTTTATTTAGCATTACTTTATTTGATTTCAATAGTAATGGTTTTCTAATTTAAAACTATTCCAGTTTTTTCCCTCACAAAACTTGATACTCTTTATGACAGGAAAACTTACATACTCAAAGCATTCTGATGCCAAACTGCTTGCTTATATGATGGATTATCTACATTTCCATGGCCAACTTTAACTGGTCTTAAGATAGATCACTCATGGAAATAGTTGATATATTCCATGTATCTTCTCACAAACTGACGTCAGTGACTTTACGTGGTTTTGTGGGATGTGAAGACCCAAGCCGGACAGCAACAATGCTAAAGGCTGCCGCCATATTTAATGCCCCAGTCAGTTACCCTTCACATGTCTCAGCTGTACACAGGGGAATGATTACCATGGCAACAAAGCTGCTAAGGGATTGGATATTTCCCTCCATTCCCTTTGACCTTTCACACTGTTCTTGGAAGAAGTTCCTTAGACTTGACTACTTTTGAGCTTAGGCCTTGTTCTTTCTCTTTGTCTTGAAAAAAAGAGTACCAAATAAACGATTAATCATTTTATTGCTCTTTTGGTTTTGTTTATATCCAAAGGCATTCTATTTGAATAAAGCATGTCAAGGTAGCATCAGTCAAAATTTGATTCACTATGTTTGCAGGTGATGGCTTGGACAACAGTGTAGCTTCCCCCAGCACAGGTGACGATGATGATCCAGATAAGGACAAAAAGCGTCACAAAAAGCGTGGCATCTTTCCCAAAGTAGCCACAAATATCATGAGGGCGTGGCTGTTCCAGCATCTAACAGTAAGTGGATTCTAAATGACATATGTACACTAAATATGGACAATGAACCCGTTTTGCTAGAGAAAAATGATCCCTCTGGACTTGGAATATTTCTTAAATCGCTGTGTTCCCACAGTTTTTGCAAAAGTATTAGCACTTGTTTCCGAGATACTACCCCAAATGAGGAGTTTTATTTGAAGTTCGCTATTGCAATTTTGTTAACTTTCGAAGTTATAAGGTTTAGGAGTTCATGTACACTTGTGATCTGAAGTATGTATGTTAATGATGTCGCTTCTCTCAGTGTGACTCTTAAGTACTTAGACACAGCTCCCACTAAGAAGAAAATAAGACAAACCCCAGAGAGAAGGACTTAATTTCTTCTAATGCTTTACTGGACCTTTATAGCGAACAGTCTGCGAAATTTAAATCTTGTTGCAATGGCAAGATGCTCACATAATTTGCTTTTAAGTGGTTTGAATGCACTGGCTTCCATTACAAAATGTTCATCTGAGTCAGAGCTGCACAGTGAAAGTTGTCCCTGTATTTAGAACTGTAAAGGAAAACAGCAATATAGAGTCAGCTCTTCCTGTGTAGTCCCTTGTGACTTTTCAAGCAGAGTAACAGTTTATATTGTCTGTGTGAGTATTGCTGTTTTCACTGCAGGAATTCTCCTGGAGATGTGAGAAACTGGAGATTTGGGGCTTTATGCCACTGAGGGATTTGTTTTGTTTGGTTATTGTTCTGAATGAATTTCATGTTCAAAATATTTATAATCATAATATTTTGGTGGATATTTCTATAAGTGCATACTGATTTAATGACATCTATGGAAAAAGACGAAGTGAAAAATTATGGGTAAAATGACACTTTAAAAATCAGAAAAATTGTTGACCAAAGGGACTTTCAATATTAGGGATAAAGAGGTGAATTTAGACCAGTTGTAGTCTAAGCTAAGATGAATGAATATTAAAAAAACTTGGCTTTTTTTTTTAATAGCAGGAGCAAACCTTTTATTTTAACTATTTTAACTAACACAGTTTGTTCTTGTTAAAGTCACTTATTTTTCTTAAATATCAAAGTTAATTCTGTGTTGTCACAAAAGTGTCCATACCTGTTGACACTTAAGCCTGATGTCCACATTCAAAGCCATGTTCCTCTTTGAGTCACACTGATCCAGGGATACCTGCAGGGAACATGGAAGGCTACATTGGTCCTCTTCCTCTGGATAGAGGCTGTGCCTCCAATAACACTCCAGGGTATAAATTCAGATTTTCTAATCTCAGTGAATAAAATTAAAACGGAGAGCAGCAGGAGTAACTGAAAATAAAAATAGCTTCCTCCCTTCTTTTCTTCCCATCATGATTCCAAACAGTAAGTAGGATATGTTGATAGCTTTTGAATCAAAGTTAGGGATTGATGCATCGAAGATTTTGATTGTTCCACTTATTCTAGCATCCTATTAAGTTTACCTAAAATCTGATCTGAGTACCATTGCTTAGCTGACACTTGTTGCATAGGTAGAGAGAGCTTGAGGTCTGCCTTGTGCCAGTTACTATTGAGTGTTATCAACCATTACTGAGGGGGAGAGGAAGAGTAGGGTCTAGAAGGCTTTTAGCATGAAAAACAGTGTGATCAGGAGATAAGAAATGACAATTGGTCAAAAGAACTGGTGCAGCCATGCTGATATTTCATCACCAGAGCTAACCTACAGTGGGGAGGTAGGTGGGGAGAGGGGACAAAACATGTCAACCCTCAAGTCTCCACCAAACTATTTCTATGTCCTATACTAATAGAAAAAAATGAATAGATTTCCTCAGCCTTCATCTCAATCGGCAAAGGAGCTCAGGCTTTACTCGAAGCTGAGGTGCCCCTGAATAAAATATAATCAAATATTGGTTTAGACAGAATCAGGAGAGGCAGAAGCAAATTCTTTTATTCATCTACCAGATTTCCTGGTTTTCTAGGTCGTGTCCTTGTGAAGACCCTTGCAGAGAGCTATATTATCTTCTTAAAAGAAAAGAAATAAAAAAAAAAAACTTTTTAGCAGCCAGCACGGATGTTGCCTGTATTGAAATATTTTATGTGGTCCATATGTAATTGGGACAACAGAAATAGAAATTATTCATCAACTGCCTGATTTCTTGAGGACCGGCTCATTTCCTCATTTTTGGGGCTGTGCTGGTTTGTAGCACTTCTGTAGAAGGGGAAACCCCTTTGGCCACATCTCCCTGGCTTTCTATGAATGCTCATAGAAGTTGCCTCATGGTTTCTATTGGGATATTTCCACCTCCCTCCCCATTCTAATGCCAGAAGCTCGTACAAATGTATTAATAATCATAATGGTCTCTGAACAGCAAATGCTCTTTTAACATCATCTGAATATAGCAAAGTTAAGGGGTAGATTTAAATTTTCTCCCCCTCTCCTTCCCTCAATGGGAAAGCATCCCCTCCCTCTTTTCTAACTGCAAGAGCAAATAGATCTCCTGTTACAAGAAACACCCTACTCTTGTTCTGTTAGACCTCTTGAAGAAATGCCAGGACTGCGTAGGTAATATTTGTAGTCAAGAGTTGATTATAATAAAATCTATGGAAAAAAATAAGAGTTTAGAGAGTTTTGTTGATTGTCCAAATGTGAGTAACTACTGACATCTACGTCTGTGACTTTATTTCAAGTTTTTCTTGTGAGGTCTTCAGGGATGTACAATTCATTTGGAAGACTGTGCCAATGTTAAGTGATCACATTATTGCTCTGTGATAAATGCAACTTGTCTGGAAAACCCTTTCTGAAAGCTTGATAGACATAAAAGAGCAATGGAAACTCTGGCTAATTAAAACAATAGTAATAACAATTTATTAGCAAAATGTAAAAACTAATCTTTTAAATACCAAAAGGCATATTATAAGGTCTCACACACCTTTTTGAAAGCAAATTGCTATTTTTTTCTTTTACAAATAAATAGGTCATTCTTTTCATTGGGCTTTTATTCAGTTTAAAAAATCTGCCTTTGAAAGGGTATTCAACCATTTGTGTGTTAGAAGAGTGGAATGGGCCCTGAATTTAAAAAAAAAAAACCCTTTCTGGATTTGCACCCCAGCTGCATCAGAAAAATGTGCAGTTCTGTAGTTATCCACAGGTAGACTTAATCAGTAGCATATTTTACTACTCCAAAGAGAGAACTAAAGCTTCATTCTTAAGAACTCACAGTCTCTAGCAAGCTGAACTGGACATACTTGTGTATAAGGAAAACAATAAAAGAAAAGGGAAACAGGTTTTAAACTTTGGTGATTATGGGTAAAAGGAGATTTCAGTGATGTAAATTTCCAACTTAGACTTAGTTGAGTATTTGCCAATTTTGATAAATAGAGGTCGCTTAAAAAGAGACTATTCGCTGCAATTGAAAAGAATGACTGAACTTATTTAGACAATAAGAGAGAATTAGAAAGAAAATAAAAGCATTTATTAATAGAAATGCTTGTTTTTGCCTGAAGAAAAATTGTTGCAAACAATAAAAATACTTAATATTTGTAATTGAGTCTCTCTCTAGTCCAGTCAGTTCAGGGGCATATGTCATGTCAGGGTTTTTTTTTTCCTTACCTCCTTTTTTTAAAAGATTTTATTTATTTATTTATATAAGCACTGGGTACAGTCAGAAGCGCGGGAGGGTGAAAGAATTCACCAGAGTCAGAGGGGAGAGCAGAGCAGGCAGATGGACAAAGTACTGCTGAAGGGAGCAGCTGGCAGTAGGAGAGGTCTGCGCACCATGTGGGACCCTCGCCCGGTGGCCGGGGATCGAACCGGTGCTGTAGAGGCTGCGGGCAGCTTCGCAACCCAGCGCTTAACCGCTGCGCCACCTGAGGAGCCCCTCCTTACCTTCTTCTTGTGGGTGTTATTCCAACTATAAATAAAACCTACTAGCCATAATGTTTAAGCTAGATGTGTTTGCACACTATGGTTTTTTTGCTACACAGTGTTACAAAGATCTGAGCTTGCCTACTGAAGAGGAGGAGGAATAAATAGGATGTTTAAGGTCAAAATCAAGGGTCCTTTTTTTTTTTCCTACTTTAAGATATTATGTTTTGAAATATAATCTAAATAGAAAAACAGTCAATATGGTTCTCATTTAAAAGATGCAATGTTGTATTTTCCAATGTGGAGCTTTTGTGTGTCCCTAGACCCCTGAAAGTTAGGGAGAATGGAGATTTTGTTAAAATGCATACCTGCAGATTCAAGTGAAGAAACCCTTCTCAAGGGGTGACACACTTGGCATTGGCCAGCAGGGGAGGGGATCCTGAAAGTCATTTGAACACATTGGATTCCCTATCCTTTCACTGATCATGAGGATCCCATTGAGTTAAACCTTCCCATAGAGACAATAATTGTCTCTAAGTCAGATTCACATATTTTGCTATCTTCCTCCCTGCCTCCCACCCCCCACCCTCCTTCCCTCCTATTCTCCCTTCTTTTCTTCCTTCCTTTTTGGGGTGAACTTCTAGCTTGGAAAATATTTGTGTGTATATGGTCAAATTTATGTCTTATTTCTGATTTATTAAACTTTCCTCTCAATGTGAATGCAACCAATGTGAGGGGTTTTAGAATCTCCCGGGTTGAGAATGGCGTTTCCATAGAAACACTATTAGATGAAAAGTGCCCTGCGGGTCCGCCACTCAAAGGGTAGAGTGAATGGAATTGGATTGGGGATTGAATACACTAGAAGAGACAGATGTTGTTTCATTGGTTTTGCTTTTGGTAACAAGATCTGCTAGCGACATCTTAGTGCCTCCATCTCTCTGCTTGCAATGTTGGGAGAATTACCCTCTAAATATTTTGACTTATTACAACGAAAAAGCTCTCATAATTGGTATACAAATAACACATTCTGTTGCTCAAGGTGAGTGAAATGTCAAAAGGTAGATAAGACAGAGGACTTCTAATTTGTTTCACTACTCACATTTCTGTTTTTCTTTCTATTCCTCACCTCTCTACTGTGCCAGTTTTAACAGTGACTCTTCTTACTGTCCCT